TTGTTTTGACCCAGCTATTGGGTTGTTTTGACCCAGCGGTTGGGTTGTTTTGACCCAGCTATTGGGTTGTTTTGACCCAGCGGTTGGGTTGTTTTGATAACAATAGCTGGGTTTAAACAACCCAATAGCTGGGTTTTCCCTTTTTAACCCAGTGCTGGGTTATATTTAACCCAGCATTTTTTTTAGAGTGTAATACTACATGATGTTAAAATAAAGTATTGCCTGCCTTCTTTTGTGTTCTGCAGATGAAAGAAAGTCATACAGGTCTGGAATTATATAAGGGTGAGTAAATGATGACTAAATGATAAATCTGAACCATCCCTTTCTGTCACCATCAGGAAAACATTCTTTAATGTAAAACTGAAAACTTTTTTCTTGATATGTTATCTTCAAATGTGGCGAAACTGTCAACCCAGCTAATTGATTATTCTCATAACATTAACTTTCAGAACCTTCTGGCAAGTTCTTCCAGTAACATTAATAGAAAGTTTGTTCCAAGTTATCTGGCTTTTAATAACATTCTCAAAACTTGAGCAAAAATGTTCTTTATGAATTGCCCATGGAACTTTTTTATGGAACATTTTATCCTTGACATGTTGGGTTCAGCCATAGCACCCTAGCACGAGTGACTCAACACATCTGTCAAAGATATCCATCTAGCTCATTTTTTACATAGGAAATCTATTAAAAAACAGTGCTGTGAAAAACAAACTTTTGAATATGACAGTCACCTGTACAAAGATGTTCCAATCAGCTAATGCTCTTTAGGTCTGATGCAGTAATGTATTAATGTCCCTGAAAATCTGGCAAGGAAATGAATAGCAGGATGTGATTGTAAAGTAGAATTGCATGTGCAGAAGCTTTTGAAAGTGAGTGTTTGAGTTTATTGTTGTTTAAGTACTTCTCTCAGTAAAGACTCCGTGTACTTTTCAGTCTGGATACAACTTTTTAAAAATTATTGACAGTTCCACAGAGTGTTGTGGCCAAAACGTTGCTGGACGCAATATCATTACATAATACTGTTGGTGGGATGTAGCTATTAGAGTGGCAGCACATTACAGCAAAGGCTTTGTAGTATTCTCTCTTAAGAAGAGGAAAAATCTATAAAATATGTTATGAGAGGAAGAAATTTGCCTGTTTTGTAACTAACGTTCTGCTTTATTAATCAACATTATTTTTCTGTAAATAGGTGCATAGCAAAAAAAAAAAAAAAAAGTGTTACTAGGAACTGACTGTTTAATTTAGCACCTTTAATCCCTGGTTATCTAAATCACACAGGTATGAACATTTCTAAACCAATTAGAGTCTTTTAAAGTATACAGAGTGTATACTCAATGAACCTATAATCTCTCTCTTAGAGTGAAACACCCAGAATGACTGGAGGTCTTTTCACTCAATAATTGGGGGCCTTGTGTGAGAGAGGAACACTAGCACACTGTTCAAACAAAAGCATGGCTGACAACATACAATGCAAATCACTCAGCTAGGCCCATGAGAAACATTTGATCCATGTTATTTCATGGGCTTTAGAAGAAGTGAGGGGAAAAATTCCTGCACAGACGCGTATACAATTCTACAATCTGGCCTTCACAAGAAAGAACTTACATTCATGGAATGACCAACAAATAGGGTCATAGTTGCTTGTGGTATTAGATCAAATGATAATGTTAAATGTTGTCACTACATTAACTTTGTGTTTGATGAAAAGAGAAACATATTTCATCACATCTGAAAAACATCATTTGATGGAACCGTGAAAACCATAAGGAGATAAACAGGTAAATAAATAAATAAATACATTCCAGCAAAAATGATTGTAGAAAATATAATACATAAAAAAACAACTAATTATATGTACAGAACAAATATGTGCTGTGATAATAATAATAATAATATAAAGCTTAAAGGAATGGTGTCACGAATTCGGTCCATGAACTTTCGTTTATTCACCACCAGAGGTCACCCTTTCCTTTACATTGACTCTCGCACAACACAAACTGTTGCATAGCACCCCGGACTACATATCCCATCATTCATTGCACGATTTGCACACTGCACTGATTGCACTCATTGCACACAGATGTTTCTTATCACCTCACTCACTATATAACACCCACTCAAACCACCATTCTCTGCTGAGTATTGTTTAGCCTGTACCCCTTTCCGAGTCTCCGTGTTTTCCTTGTTTTGCCTTGCCTGTTTTGCGGTTTCTGATCTTTGCCTGTTTTCCTGGATTTTTCCCTCCCATCTCGCCCCTGTGATTCTGTCTGCCGATCGGTGACCTACGCTAGCCCTAGGACTATTTTTGTGTTTTTGCCCGCCATATACCTGTTTGCCATTGTTCGACCCTGCCTGTTATACCACGTCTCTTTAATAAAAGCTTGCAGATGGATCCACACGTCTCACGTCTCGTCAGCCCCATTACAAATGGTTTGTTTAGTCCATTCTAAATTTTGTCATCATAGACACAGGGTTTCTATGGGTCTTAAAAACGTCTTAAAAAGTCTTAAAACCCCCTTCCACAAATTAAGGCTTTAAAAAGGTCTAACATTGGAGCAGAGACATTTAACAAAATTGTTCATACTTAAAACAAGACAAAACAAATCTGTCGACAAGGTATAACTTGATTCTGCTTTGAATTAAGTGTACTTTTCTGACCCCATTGGCCGATATTTGTTTTTGTTTGAATCATAAACTCATTTCATTTCGATCAGTTTCTCAGAAAACTTTGCACCTCAGTGTATATTGATTTAGGAGACTTTAGACATCTGCAATGGAAAACAAGACAGAAATAATTAGGAAAAGCATCACTTTTTGCAGTGTGATCAGAAGGTACATTAAAAGTTATTTCCATATTCTAGTTGTTTAAAAAAAAAATTAAGTAAAAATGAATGGTGATATTTTGGAAGCTGTATTTTCAAACTTTGAAGTGTTGCTAAAAGAACTCATTGTCTGCTCCTTAGACTTTTACATGTACATAATTTTATTGTATTGTGTTCCCTTTAGTATATTCCTCAAATTTTCTCTGCATGCCCTCTTCATCTATTGACTAATTTACAGCCACAGCTCAATCCCATCCTCCCTGAAGCATGCTGCCCTACTAAACTAAAAATCCAGCAACATTTTAGGTCAATCTCTAAATGCTAAAGCTCACATAGTGCTTCCATCACATACAGGAAAGCTTATGCCCAGCAACAGCGACAACACATCGCTTCCCACTGATCCGGCTGTCAGAGGAAATCTCCAAGTCCAGTGGCTGTCAGAGATCAATCGTACAGTAGAATGAACAGATTGGTAATAATGGGGAAAGGCTTCCTATGAAACCTTTGTAACATACCTCAAAGATTGTAAACATATTACACTGAGAAGAGCAGGTGCTGCACTTCAGGTGTGCTCTGAAAAGGCTTCCTTTTTTGTTAAGCTGATTACGAGTTGAGGAGGAGGTAGAAAACCCAGGTGGAAGAGAAAGGCACGTAGTAACAGTGTAGTAGTGTTTGTCTTCAGTAAACCTATTAAGGGACAAAAATAGTTACGAGAAAGCTTTTGAAAAGAGATAGAACACTTCTGAACCTATAAACAACATCTGTTTGTCTATAAGCGAGGCTGTATAATTGTGTATAAACATGGTCAGAACTGTCTGATGAAAAGCAGCCGACAAGTGTCACTTGGACTGAATTCTAAAAAAACGTCCCAGAATTAATTTGGTTGAGAGAAGGAGAATTTGTGTTATCTTAAAGTTTTAATGACTTGACTGTTTTTATCACCCTTTGCCTGAAGGTGGACAGGGCTTGAGCAATGGTTTCCCACTATTTGTGTTGTGTTTTAAAAAGATTTCTCCTGATTTATTATTAACCCATGTTGAAAATTTACATTTTAGAGAGTGTTATAGATTATTATTATTATTATGTTCTTTTAATTTCTGGATGACTGGGATATGTCTATATATATATATATATATATAGGGTAAGATGGGGTCAGCTGAATATCATCATTTCATTTTAACATCAACATTTCTCAGATTTAGTTTAAGTTTGAGATTAATTGATCTAATTTTGTGTTGTTGGAAAATAGTGATCTGTGACTAGTGATCTGAATATGTTGAATATCGAAAGTTTTTTGTGTTTTCAGTTGCCATTATGACATATCTTCAATTAACATATGGGCAGTTAAATATATAAATATTCACATGCCTGCATATAAGTCACAGAATAATTTTAACATTCAGATGAATCTTTTTCACTGGGATTCTGCTTTGTCTGTCACTGGTTATACAAATTACACTACACTGTCAAAATACAAATTACAATAGAGTAGTTGATTTAGTATTTTACATTAATCGCGCTTTAAAAACATATAAATATTAATAGGAATTATATCAAAAGTCATCTTACCCTTCTTTTACTATTTTACATTTTGTGCTGTAACATCTAAATTAGGAAGTATTTACATTGGCTGATGTATCATATTGCATATGCTTTGTATCTAAATATGTTACAGCTTAAAAATAAATTGTGTATGTTATTTATTCATTAATATATTTTAAAACATGTGACCTCTATAGTGTGTTACATGAATCTCAGTCCGGGTGTTTCCATCACTGTTTTGCGTTCCGGCTGCGTGAAGAAGCAATCATGGCGGCTGAGGGAGATGTGGATTTGGACCTGGAAGCTGAGGAGAACTGCACGGGAAAACCAACAGAAAAGCCCCGAAAACATGATAGCGGAGCCGCTGATTTGGAAAAGGTTACCGACTATGCGGAGGAAAAAGAAATATCAAGCTCGAATTTGGAAACGGTGAGTTAATATAAGTGTCAGAATCGAATGAAGCTAGTCAGGCTGAGTAACCATGTGCGGCAGGAGTGGACTTCTGTGTTAACACTGACTGATACGACCTCTAGAATCACTGTATTAAAACGACATCATAACGGTTTAATAGTTTGGTGTTTCAGCAGTGGATTGATCAGCCGGTGTTCTGTCGATTTGTGCTACCCTGTCAGATTTTGCTACCTCTCATTAAAACAGAGGGTTGTACAATTCGACAACAAAAAATGCTACTTTTAAAATTATGGTTTATTAACGTCTACACCTACCCAACCCTAAACCTAGCCTTACAGTAATGCAGATAATTACAGTAATTACAGTAATGTAGCTAGAAGGCATACAGCTACAGGAAACCAACAATAAATACTTTTTTCTACCTATTAGATTGTGTTTTTTATTGAAGTCTACATCTACCCAACCCTAAACCTACCCTTACAGTAATGCAGATACATTAATTATGTGTTATATTCGCGGTTGTAGCTAGAAGGCATACAGCTACAGGAAACCAACAATCAATAATTTTTTCTACCTATTGTGTTTTTATTGAAGTCTACATCTACCCAACCCTAAACCTACCCTTACAGTAATGCAGATACATTAAATGTAATGTAAAAAGGATGCCATATTGATGTGCGCATGCGCAGTAAACCCTGGTAGGACAATCTGACGGGTTGGGTAAAATGTCAAGACACCGTTCAGAGTGAGCAATGAAGAGAGAAGTGAGGGCGTTTCAGCTCACAATATCTTCCTTTATGTTGCCACGCAACCTTTATAGGAGATGCTCAAGCCCAAAAACATTTGCCTATGAATGCTGTTATTTTAATTTTTGAACCATTGTTGATGTGTCTTTGAAGGCCATGTCCGTGATTGGAGACAGAAGATCCAGAGAACAAAAGGCGAAACAGGAAAGGTGAAAATGTTTGATGTCTGATTATTGTCATTTGTTATATGACTGTGGTTAATAAACGATCATGACAATACTAATTTTTAACAATTCCACAGAGAAAAAGAACTAGCCAAAGTAACAATAAAGAAGGAAGATGTGGAACTCATTGTAAGTATGCAAAAGTGTATTTCCATGCGAGATTCCTGAATTTGACGTGGAACACAAACATGCTAACAATCTTTCTGACAGATGGGTGAGATGGAGATTTCGCGAGCAGTGGCGGAGCGCAGTCTCAGAGAACACATGGGCAATGTGGTGGAGGCATTGATTGCACTGACCAACTGAGTGGATTTGACTGCTTTGAGATGTATGGACACATTGAACTGCCTTCTTCCTGCTTTTGCTATCCCTTTTCTTTTCTCGCTGTACTTATTCTGTAATAAAGGAACCTTTTTTTAAACAGTCTTTACCAGTACCACTTCCCTCTTTACATTTATTAGAAGCTCCAACTCTCTTTTTAGTAATGCATTCCAGAACGAACCAATGCGATCAGTGTCATAGTAATTTATCGCTGTAAAACAAAAAGTAGATTATCCCATTAGAAACAGTGAAACTAAAGCCTCAGAATTCTGTACACTCAATGAAATGTGTAGATGCATACAATCCAAATGCAATAAAGATTTGATATCTTTGTTGTGAGGTTTCTCCAACACTAGCAAAACAAAGGTGAGGGGAGCAAAGGTTAAAAGAGTCCTTGTTTGAGCTGAATGTGCTCTTCTAGCATAAACAACAGGATTAAGTCTTCCTCTTGTGCACTGTTGGCCGATCGAACACGTCTCTCACGCCCCCTGCCTTCTGCTTGAAGAACTTGCTGTTCTGAGCGCTCTCCTGAGCCCAGGCAGAATCAAATGAAGTGGTGTCCTGATCCACCAGATGTGTGTATTTTGTACGTCCGGAACGTCCAAAGTTTTTGACCTACACAGCACATTGAATAATTAGTCATTTTAGTGTTACACATGGATGCTAGACTTTCTAAAACGGGTTCTACACTCTAGCCCTCGAGGTTCACTTTCCTGCAGAGTTCAGCTCCAACCCTAATCGAACACCGCTGAACAAGGTCTTCAGGGTTATTAGGGAATGATACAGGCAGGTGAGTTTGAGCAAGCTTATAGCTAAACTCTACAGGAAAGAGTTTACAAGCCCTGTTCTAGAAGGTAGTTACTACATATAACTGCACTTTCAAACTTAACAGATACAGAGTCCCACACATGACATGGGGAAAAATATGTGTATATATATATATATATATATATATATATATATATATATAAATATATGTGCGTGTATAACATTGCTAACTTTGAAAAACAAAAACTGATTTGAAGAATTTAACTATACAACTTGGCTAGTAAATGACCAATATGATGAATTCAAATCGATGGCGCTGACCTGCATGACTTTGGGTAAGATTGTTTTGTTGAAATGGTCCTCGAGAGTTGGAGCACTGAAGTCTCTCCTGAAGACATCTTGCTCTTCATCCTGCAGAAAAGATGAAATATATATTATACAACGAGAACGGATTATGATCGGGTAATGATGATCTGCTCATTACTCACCATGAAGAAAGCTCCTCTGTGATAGTACTTCTGCAGAAAAGTAATTTCGGTCATTTTACAGCCATTTATTGGTATTACTGTGTGAAGGGGCTAATGACTTCCATAGTATGAAGTCAACAGCTACCAGCAACTGCTTGGTCACCATCATCATTCTTTAAAGGGGTCATATGACATTGCTAAAAAGAACATTGTTTTGTGTATTTGGTGTAATGCAATGTGTTTATGCGGTTTAAGGTAAAAAAAAAACAACAACATTATTTTCCATATAATGTACATTATTGTTTCTTCTCTATGCCCCGCCTTTCTGAAACACGTAGATTTTTACAAAGCTCATCGGTCTGAAAAGCGAGGTGTGCTGTGATTGGCCAGCTATCCAGTGCGTTGGGATTGGCCGAATACCTCAAGCGTGTGACGGAAATGTTACGCCCCTTACCATACTGTGATGCCCTGTCAGGCCGGAGCGACGAGACAAAAACATGAAAACCCATTATAAAGGAGGCATTTGTTGCATCCAGTCAGGACATAATTACGGATTATAATGACTTACACTTTTTACTGCGCTGCGTAAACATAAAACCATGTCTGCATTTGTGATCGGAGAAACAACAAGCCTAATCTACATCATCAGTGGCAAATTATTTAAATATAAAAAAAAACTTACTTACAGGCTGTGAGTCAGAAGTGCCCGACTGTCCTTGCAAAGTTGGAACTGCTCAACTTTATAGAAACAGCCTTTGTGCCACAGACGCATTGTAGGCTACTGGTTCAGGAAACAGTCCTCATCCATTCTTCATAAAATGCGCTACACACATCTGAATACTTGGGTTGAACTGTTCAGGAACAGTGTTGTAAATACAACCGATTTCTAGTCGTGTCCTCTTTTGGAAGACCAAACAAAGTAGTTTCGCTTTTCACAACGAAACACACAGCGACTCCACAACATGGCAGCGAGACAACAACGAGAATAAAAGTTACGACTTCTTTCTTTGAGTGAACATTTGGGCGGCGTTATGCAAATCTTCCCACATCATGACATAGACATGTGGGGCGTGTTAGAACGAGCCGTTTTAGGTAGACGTGGTTGACGCTTAACTTTTATAAAGAATATCTTTTTGGATTTGAGACTTTAGTCTTTGCAACTTTACAGATCTTCTTTATGCACCAAGAGCTTGTAACACTCCAAAGAGAAAGTTTTTTTTCTCTTTGAATGAAAAAATTTGCATCATATGACCCCTTTAAAACACCATCTTTTGTGTTTAGCAGAAGAAAACAATTCAGACAGATTTGGAACAACTTTACAGCGAGTAAATGACAAAAATTTATTTTTGGGTGAACTGTCTCTTTAAGGTTCATTTATAGTGGGTACGGAAAGTATTCAGACCCCCTTAAATTTTTCACTCTTTGTTATATTGCAGCCATTTGCTAAAATCATTTAAGTTAATTTTTTTTCCCTCAATGTACACACAGCACCCCCATATTGACAGAAAAACACAGAATTGTTGACATTTTTGCAGATTTATTAAAAAAGAAAAACTGAAATATCACATGGTCCTAAGTATTCAGACCCTTTGCTGTGACACTCATATATTTAACTCAGGTGCTGTCCATTTCTTCTGATCATCCTTGAGATCGTTCTACACCTTCATTTGAGTCCAGCTGTGTTTGATTATACTGATTGGACTTGATAAGGAAAGCCACACACCTGTCTATATAAGACATTACCTACTAAATACTGAGCAAAGGGTCTGAATACTTAGGACCATGTGATATTTCAGTTTTTCTTTTTTAATAAATCTGCAAAAATGTCAACAATTCTGTGTTTTTCTGTCAATATGGGGTGCTGTTTGTACATTAATGAGGAAAAAAAATAACTTTAAATGATTTTAGCAAATGGCTGCAATATAACAAAGAGTGAAATTTAAGGGGGTCTGAATACTTTCCGTACCCACTGTATGTTTAAGAAACTCACTTGCGGATAAACACCGGTTTTAACCGAGGCTCAGTTTCATCCTCGCTGTCTGTGTATTCCTCGTACTCTGACTCGGATTCAGGTTCATCACCAGACTTCCCCGCCTCCTCCTCTACCTCCACCTCCAAGATCTCCATTTCCTCGTTCTTCCTCTCTTGTGCACGTTGACGCATCATTGCTCTCCTCCTCTCAATTTCCTATACAGAACAGAAGACATAAAACCAATTATTTGTAAACTCATTTAACTTTCCCCAAAAATTCTGTTCAAGTGACCCACTTCATCATCGACTTCCTCCTCTTCTTCATCTTCGCTGCTCTCCTCTCGCTCAGGGTGCCACGTTCCTTCATCCGAGTCCTCACTGCTTTGAGCAATCAGCTCTGGCTCTGCTATCTGCCTGTGTCTCGCAAGCCTGTAGAAGACATAGTGCGTTTCACATTAACGCCAAAAGATCCCTTTCACAAGAAAAATATATTTGTATAAATTGTATTGCACAGATGGATAAGCTGTACTTTTCTTCAACATCTTCAGTCACTCGATTCATGAGACGCCGAAGACGAGGATCAGATTTTTCCTCCTCTTCAATTTCCATCTCTGGCTCAGCCTCTTTACCCTTCTTAACAAACTGGAAATCCTCCTCTTCTTCATCTGAGGACTCCATCGGGGCATAGTCTGGACGCTTACCCGACACATATCGCTTCACCTTCACCTTCTCCATAGAAATTTCACCTGAAGTTAAAAAAACATTGATAGAGTCATAAACTGTGTTACTATGGAAACCAGATTATGTTTTCTACATTTTCTAAAATTCTGAATTGTTATGCTCTCCTCTTGCTGAAATTAATATAGGCTTTCCCCCAGCACTGATAAAAGTTTTCAGCACGTTTTGTCATTTAATAACTAAACCACTGTGCTGGTCTATTCCAAAGGTACCAAGTCTTGTGCAGTAACTATGTAAAACAGTAACTGTACGAAAAGTAAACTAGGGTTACCGAGATGCATCTTGGTAAAATAGCAGTATCTTTACATTTTTATTATTTATATTGATCCATTTAGGATTATTAATACACAACAACACTTGTCACATTTAACAAAACTTTAATTGCATTTCATATCGGTGCATGTATTAATTCAAATTCAGTAATGTGTAAAGTTATTAAAAGACCGATTAGAAACTAAAAATACGAGACAAGATCCGCATACAAACACAAGATTCGACTACAGGGGATGTATTTTGTATAAGGCCAATACTTTCATGTTTTCGTTATCGCATAATATTAGACACTCGCACGAATCATGTCAACACATGCTAATACTCAAAGCTAACTGTTTCTCAAACAAATACCTTTTTCATTGCGGATCGGCACAGCTCCCGCCGTCGACTGAATCGGCGGCTGCTTGGCATTTAATGCGTTTGATCCTGACATTTTGGACACTTCACGCGGGACCCTTTACACTAGAAAAAACACAATCGCTGAAAGTCCCCGTAAAAATCCTGTTTACAGTCCTTCATCCACTAACAAGGACGTCCCGGAAATTGTACGCCAGTAGGAAACCGCACGAAAAATCGTCCCCGGAAACACTAACCTATTAAGTAGTTCTTACCTTTAATTGCACTTCTTTTATTCAACACATTATTTTTGTCCTGGCCTTCCCTTTGGTGATAAGATGAATGATAGTAATCAGGTAAAAGCACGGTATTTCTAAAATTATTACTATTATTGTGGAAATCAGCTTTAATTTTTTTTTCTCTAAAAATATGAATGAATATTTATGCCCCCCTCTCACTCAAATTAATGTGATTTTCTCAGGATTGATTTGTCATTTAATAACCACTATAGTGGTTTATTCCAAAGTCTTGTAGCCTCATACAGTTTTACTGTAGAAACATTAATAGTAACTATATCACAGTCCTTTTTACATCTTGGTAATAAAGCAGCATCTTTTATATTTTTATTATTCATACTGATTCATTTAGGAATATTAATACACAACAACATTTGTCACATTTAACAAAACTTTAATTGCATTTTATATCTGTGCATGTATTATACGCTTCTTCATATTTTTAAATGTATTCGTCATTCAGCCACCCTGATGTTGTTCTGTATGACTTTATTAAGTGGAACACCAAAGAAAATGTTGAGGAAATCTTCTCTTGTGTTCCACAGAAGAAAGTAAGTCAAAACACGTTTGGAACGGCTTCCGGGTGGCCTGAACTGGCCCTTTAGCGTAAAGAACATTCCATGATGATCAGTTACACACACAAAAAAAAGACTGCACGGCTCATTATTTCTTCACGAATGAAGCATTTTTAGATAATGTACAAACTCGTATGTTCTTTAAAAGTAACGCACAACCATATTTCGGACTCACTTGTAAAACTTCAATATCTGTAATCCCCCCCTCGTGACTTAAAATCCTCGCCACCCCTGGAAAGACAAGAAAAGCAGCTTTATTTTCTGGAGTCTGTCGGATTATAAATGACTGAAGCGTGCTGCAGTGAAGTGCTGTAGTACAGTACCTATGGGGTGATTGATGTATGGTGTTGCATCAGGATCTTTACGGCGCTGATTGCGATGTTTCTCTGCAGCGAAGTTGATCGTTTCCAGCAGCACTGCAGTCGACGAAGAGCTCATAGTTACTTTAAAGTAACGTTAGAAAAAGATATTAAATGCACAGTCTGATATTTCTTTTATAAATAGTTCGGACTGAATACATAACCCAGAACATACAACTCGCTGGTATATTAAAAATGAGGGTAATGTTACGATATACCTATGTTGTTTGTGTATAGAACGCTGTTGTTTTTGTGTCCGCAAGTCTAAGATGTCCGTAGTGAAACAAGCGTAGTTCGAGTCGTGAAAGAATTGTTCTTTTTATTTGGATCTTTTCAATGAATCAGTTCAAGGGTTGAGATGAAACGAATAACTGAAAACGGCACACAATGTTAATATGTACTACAGGTTTATTACATGTGAAACTATGATAATAATAACTACATTAAAGCGTGCAAAACACATTTTTAGCCAAGTGATGAATTAGTACGGTTATTGTTGCGAAATGACTTGTTTTTCATGATGACTCATGGCTGCAGCAGACTGAACCGGATCGTGCGAAATTACAATAAACACCTGCATTAATCGAAAAACGTGGTAAATAGCGATGTGTGCCAGCGTGTATGGTTTTACTGTAACGTCTCAGAACCTCCAAAGACCACGGAACGACGCAAAAGAATCACTGGCTTTGCTGTTCAAAAGAACCGAGTTGCGGAAATGAGTCGGACTGTGAGATAGCGAAACCACTTCCGGGAAAAGGTGGACGAGGTATACGATACGAATTCACTGCTTTTTGTATATACATGCTGATTCAATTAATTCGGATGACTACATTTATGTTATTATTGTGGCTGACTTGCACTGTGGAATTGGACGTTCCGATATGTTGATAAACTGTGTAAATAAAAGACTTTTGAGAGTTTGAGCTGCTAAAGGAAAACCAGCTTCAATGACAGAAGCTGCAGTAATCGAGTGATACTTGTCGTTCTGCACATGCAGCTTCCACTGGTCGGAGTGACAGTAATGTTAGAGAGAAATGTTTTACAGGTTTATCCAGCTGCGGAAAGTGTGGTAGGATCTCTCCATATGGCACACACAGAGTGGAGAGATGCTCCTGAGCTGCCTGATTTCTCCCTGCTCAAAAGACTGGCCAGAGACCAGCTCATCTTCCTGCTGGAACAGGTGACACGACCACCCACAGTGTCTTGAAATTCTTCTTTCTTCAAACAAGTACTTTCCATTTTGAATTTGTATTTTAAGTGTCGGCATGTATGCTTTGCAGTTGCCAGGGAAGAAGGATTTATTTATTGATGCAGATTTGATGAGCCCTCTCGATCGAATAGCAAATGTCACAATCCTAAAGGTAAGATATCACGTATACCATTTTAGGAGATAGTATTGGCACACTGTCTTTCTAAATGCCTAGCGATTTCGATCTTCTTCTTGAAATGTTATAAGTATGGAAATGTGTATTCACACCTTAATTGATCTAACAAGTCTACACCCGATTTCTCCTTTAGCAACATGAAGTCGACAAACTGTACAAAGTTGAGCTGAAGCCTATTGTCAGCAGTTCAGACCAGTAAGTAAAATTATGTTTTTAACAAGTTTAGTTTATATACTTCCTCTCTGAAATATACATATTTTCTCTCTTTTTTTCCCCCCCGCAGGCTGTGCTTCCTGATACGTCCTCGAATACAAACTGTGAAGTGGATTTCAGGTTGCCGTGGTTTGCTGTTGTGATATAATCTATGTGGAAAAAGCAGGAGGAAGTCTAGATTAATAGTTTGTCTTAATGTTTACAGATTTAGTTAATGCAGACAAAGTGGCTGGAAGATTCAGACGATATAAGATCATATTTACCCCACAAAAGGTAACGGGTGGTCTGGAAATTATGTTAAAATATGCAGAAGTTTTATTTTGTTGTCTGATTGTAATGTTATGACATTCTTTACAGTTTTATGCATGTGAGACGGTTTTGGAAGAGCAGGGAGTCTATGGAGGTAGATTAAGTGTGTTAATGTGTCTTTCTTTGGCACTGTGTCTCCTAATACAGACATTAACTATGACGTTTTTTCTTAGATGTTACAACCGATGAGTGGAATTTCTACATTCTTCCTCTGGATGACGACATCCTGAGTTTAGAGCTGCCTGAATTCTTCAGAGATAACTTTCTGGTAATGCTGATTTGGATGCTACAGATCTTTAGATCTGAAAAACAGTTTTAAATTTGGTATGTTTGATTAGTTTGTGAGATTTTTTTACCTATTTTAGGATTTTTAGTATGTATTGTTATCTAGAAGGAGTATTATTGAGATATACTCTTCAGTGTCACGTGATTCTTCAGAAATCATTGTAATATGGTGCATTTCTTCTTAGTTTTAGTGTTGCTGCTTAATATTTTTGTGAAAACTTTCATAGAAAGAATAACATTTATTTGAAAAAGACCTAAAGGTCATAAATCTCTTTACTGGATTTAGATGAATTCAATGCATCCTTGCTAAATAAAAGTATTGATTTCTTTAACTGACCTGGAACTTTTGACTATTAGTGTAATTTATGAGTAATGATTGATATATGAGTAATTGTTATTTGATTCATCAGGAGGGAGACCAGCGCTGGGTGACCACTGCAGGAAGTGCTCTACATCTTTTACAGTCTGTCTATGGCTCCTTCTCAAAGGTGTATGGTATTGGTAGATGTGCCAAGGTGAGGATTTGTGACAAAACCCTTAACCTCACAGATGAACAGATTTTGGTGGATGAGAACATGGGAAGCGGTGGGGGTGGGGGGCTACTTTTAAACCGGGTTACTTTTGAGGTCTGGTACAAATATGACTTGGGCTTTAAATAATAACGAAAGTATTGATAAAAGTTTAAAGTCCGGATGTAGACTCTGATGTTGCAGGAGCTGCGATCAAAATGGGTCTTTGAAAGTAATGATGTGTATGTTACATTATTCCAGTAGGTGGCGAACAGTGAGTGTTAAATGCATTTGATGTCTGAATCATTCATTCAAGAGATTCAAAACGAAACAAGTCTTCTTTTATCTTCATTTATTTAAAAATAGATTTTTTTTACATAATTAGGCTAATTCGTTTAAATTAATAAATATTTTTAAATAGACTCATTTACTATAACATTAATAAAACATTTAGTCAGAAACTCAAGTAAATTACATATTTCGTTTGGTTGTCTGTTTTGTTTTCAGAATCGTGGGAGGATTATAGCTTAAAAATACATAGGCTAATATATGTGGCAGCTAACTTATACCATTAGTAGGTAATATATTTATTATTTTATAGGTAATATTAATAATGTTTCTAATATTAAAATTAGTTCTGCAACCCAATCCCCCCACGAGGCCCCCCGCCTTTTGGTTCATTTCCGCTGATCCATGGATGAGAATCAAGGCAGTCTCTCATGTATGTCTGTGTATGTAGATGGTGTATGAATCCTGGAGGGAGCTAATGGAGGAGGGGGAACAGAGAACAAGGCAACCTGAATTTGCCAAAGTCTTTCTTGTTGACAGAGGTCAGTTATTTAAAATGAAAATACATTTACATTTAGTTGTACTATTATAGTTTTGGGAAAATTGCCTTTTTCTGTTGTAATAACAACTTGCATAATTTGTATTTTAATATTTTAGATGTGGACTTTGTTACTCCTCTCTGCTCTCAAGTTGTTTATGAGGGATTGGTAGATGATCTTTTCAGAATAAAATGTGGTAAGTAAGCAATTTTATATTATAAAGGTCTTTGTGTCATAGTTGTTTAAAACATGTTTATGTCTGTCTGTATAACAGGCTAATTATAACATTCTCAACTTTGTCATTTTGATTTTGTTTCTAGGCAGTGTGGAATTTGGACCTGATGTCACTTCCTCTGACAAGAGCATCAAAGTGATGCTTAACTCTCAAGATAAAGTAGGAGTTAGATAGACTTTATTAAATTGACAGTGGTTAGTAACTGCGATTTAAAAAAAAATTACCCTGCTTGTTTAATTCATCAGGTGTTCAGTGAAATAAGGAACGAGCATTTCTCCAATGTGTTTGGCTTTTTAAGCCAGAAGGCCAAAAATCTTCAAACAGCATATGATGTAAGTGCTTGCTACAGATGGCATGTGTTTCATAGCATGTTAGGATACATTTTAGCATATTCTCAGTGTGACAATAATCAAAAAATGTGTGAATTGGTAACAGAAGCGGCGTGGGATGGACATCCAGCAGATGAAGGCATTTGTTTCAGATGAACTGAAAGGACTGAAACAGGAACATCGTCTTCTCAGTCTTCGTAAGTAGTGTATACACTACTGCTTAAAAGTTGTGAGGTCAGCAAGGACGCATTAAATTGACCGGAAGTGACAGTGATAACACATATCATTTCTGTTAAAAAGAAAAAAAGCTGTTCTTTTGTACTCTCAATTTTTTACAAATCCGGACAATCATGATTTCCACAAAAAATGTTGATAATAGCAAGAAATGTTTCTTGAGCACCAAATCAGCATATTAGGGACTTCTTTCAGAAACATATAAATAAATAAAATCTCTCCGCACCCACATTTTAGAACGGTAGTGTATGTTAAATGTTTCCTTTGGCATCAGAAATAGAGCAAATCCTGTTAGTTAGTACAGCTGCTTGCAAATAATGAAGACAGTTTCTTAGTAATAAATAAAAGAACATGCTTTGTTCTTCCACTAGACATTGGTGCAAGTGAATCCATGATGAAGAAGAAAACCAAGCAAGATTTCCAGGAATTGTTAAAGACTGAACACTGTAAGATGTCTTGATAAGTTTAAAATCACACAAATCTTGAAATCTACAGCATGACACTCTAATCTCACTCATTTCTGTATCTCCTCCTTTTTTACAAATACTAGCATTACTTGAAGGCTTTGAGATCCGTGAATGTATCACCTACATTGAAGAACATATCAACAGACAGGTATGAGAAAACAAAGAATGTTATTGTTATGAGACAGTGGCATAATAATGCTACAGTAATAATCATGCTTGAGGAAACTCTGTCCATCAGGTGTCAATGATTGACAGTCTTAGACTCCTTTGCCTGTTGTCCATCACAGAAAATGGTGAGTCTTGTATATAAATTCCATGGCTAAGGTTGTTTATTTCAACAATTTCTGTTAAATATTGCATTGAATTCTCCAACAGGTCTTTTGTCCAAAGACTATAGATCTCTTAAAGCGCAGTACCTTCAGGTATGTTATGATTTGAAAGTTGACATTTATAAACAACTCATTTACGTAACACTTCATAAAGCCATGGTATTACTTTGTCTTTAAAATGAGTGTTTAAGTGGATCGTCTTAAATGACTGACGGTGTTTTTTTTAAGATTATGTTCTCTGTGATACCGTAAGTTATCTCTTGTTTAGAGTTATGGTATAAAGCACCTGCTGACGTTTGCAAACCTGAGACAACTGGGTCTGCTGGAAGAACAGCAAGCTGGAGAAACACTGACAGTCATGGAGAGTAAAGTGGGGAAACTTGTCAATGACAAGACTGTAGGTGAGAATGTGGAACCTCTCATTCGCTCTCTCTCTTCCTCTCTCACTCTCATATTTATTACATTGACTACAATGTACACATACATACATGCACTGGGTAGTTTCTTATGTTTTCTGTTCAGGGAAGCTGACGGATGCCTTTTCC